CAAAACGAAAAAAGAAAATTAGATATGTTTAAAATTGTCGACTAGTTGAATTATCAGTGGCAAGAGTATCTAATCATCCATCAGCTGATACACTTTTATTAATCTAATTACTTCGTTCGTTTCATATCTATTTTATATTAAAATATATCTACACCTTTGACATTTTCTTTATCATTTCACTCCCTTTAATATCACACACTACTGTAAACCCACGCTTTTGTTCACATCTATCATCCACGCATATCAAAAGTACTCTTATTTACTTCCCTTTATATTTTTCCTTCTTTCCAACCATCATATCCTTAACTACCATGTCTCAAAAGCCTTGTTACGACTTCCCTTGGTATCCTGGTATTGACTGTGGTAATTCGTTACTCGCGGCGGCCATTAAAGATGCAAGTGGCTCTTCCCATGATCACTCACCCTCCCTCTCATCTTAATTATGCCATCTCCTTCATTACCTCAGGGCGAGACAGCCTCTTAGATATATGTGTGTGTGTTTCTGTACGTGTATCTCTAAATTAGGGTGTTTCTTCATGTGGATGTGTGTTTATATGTATTTCTTTGTGTGCTTGTTGTGCTTATATGTTGTTTATATGTTTGTTACGTGTCTGTGTGTTTCTGTATTTGTATATGTGTATTTCTTTTTTTGTGGATGTAGGCCTACATGGTGCTTTTCATTTCTTTACGTCTATGGATATGTTTGTTTCTTTACGTGTTTGTATGTATATGTCTTTATATATATATATATATATATATATATATATATATATATATATATATATATATATGTGTGTGTGTGTGTGTGTGTGTGTGTGTGTGTGTGTGTGTGTGTGTGTGTGTGTGTATGTATGTATGTATATATGTATATATATATATATATGTATATATATATATATATATATATATATATATATATATATATATATATATATGTATATATATATATATATATATATATATATATATATATATATATATATATACATATATATATATATATATATATATATATATATATATATATATATATATATATATATATATATATATATGTATAATGTATATATGTATGTGTGTATGTATATATATATATATATATATATATATATATATATATATATATATATATATACATATATATATATATATATATATATATATATGTGTGTGTGTGTGTGTGTGTGTGTGTGTGTGTGTGTGTGTGTGTGTGTGTGTGTGTGTGTGTGTGTGTATGTGTGTGTGTGTGTGTGTGTGTGTGTGTGTGTGTGTGTGTGTGTGTCTTTATATATATCTACTTTTGTGCATCTCTTTCAGGCTTGAATCATGCCGATGTGGATCCACTTGATCCACCTCTTCCTGCCATCCTCATCCTCCTCACGCATCACTACCACTTTCATGTCCTCCCTGATACCGGCCTTCAATACAGCTTTTCCGCTCCCTCCCTCACGTACGCCTCGTCTTCTCGGTACGCGTGACCGCACCGCCTCGGCGTCCCTTCTGCATCCCCAGCCGCCCAGCATCCTCCCCATCTCTCTTCACTCTTCGTCTTGTCCAGCTGCGTCGCCCCTAATGTGAATCTCGGCATCTCCATCTCTCCCCCTTGGATCTGCATCTCCTGCTCCTTCTGTCACTTGTCGCTTCCATTCCGCAGGGCCTCCGTCTTCGCCATTGCCTTCAACATCTTTCCCTTCACTTCCTCAAGCTACACCGACTTGCTTGCGTCATCTCAGCCATCCCCTTGTCCGAGTGCTTTCATCTCCTTGATCCATTGGGACTTCCTCTCCCTGATATTGCTCTATGTTTTACTTTGATTCATCCCTTCCTCTTATTCACAATAATCTGTCTTGCAGTCCATATTGAGCTCATGTTGTAAGGATCTCATCGTCGAACCTTTGCGAACGCCCATTCTTACTCCGGAGGATTCACTGGAATCATCTGCACGTCTGCCCTTTGTCAGGCCTCCATTACACATGTCACGTAGGATCCACACGGATTTCTCATTTATGTTCTTCAATCTCAGGCAGTTCAGACCTCGTCTCTCATTTTCCTGATATAATCATCCTCATATTCGGTGATGTAAATGCAGGTTTTGCTGTCCCTCTCTGTGCTTCTCCCTTACCTGACACGGTACAAAGATGGCGTCCATTGTGCTTCATTCGGTATGTACTCGAACTGGTCTTTCCAGATCTCAGTCATTCCCCCCGGTCTCCATTCTATCGCGTTTTTTCCCAAATCTTCATAGCATCCGTTTAATACCACAGTAGCTGTTACAGTCTTGCACTTCCCCTTCGTCCTTGTAAACTGGGGTCGATACCTAACTTCTCCAGGCATCGGGGATTTTTCCAGGCATGATGACGTCGCTGAGCTGGTTCCTCGGGAAGTCTGCCCTCGTAGCTACCATAGAGTTCAACAACTCCGCAGAGATATCATCTGAGCTCGAGGCCTTCCACTTCAAGGCCTTTAGTTCCTCCTTTTCACTGGATCCACTCCTCTTCTCCGCCACGTTCCACTATGCTCTCTACTTTCCTGTCTTCCACATATATCAGCTTCTCAAAATACTCCCTCCACCGGTTTCGTGCGACCTCACTTTCCGCCGGTGTTCTAGTTCTATAAGTCCTTTTTTGTCTCCTGTCCTTTCTTTGAAATCATACTACTTTGCAGCTGTTTGCAAGCCTCGGACTTCACTACTGTTACTGCCCACTTTGTTCCCTTGTTTACATCCCTGAACTCCCTGAGAGACTTCTAATCGATCCAAGTCTCCAGCTCTCTTTTTCGTCTCTCTAATCGCTTCCTGTAGCCTACTTCATAACACCAGCAGGTTTTCTCGTTCTTCTTGAATTTGTCTTTCGAGTCTCCCCTCTATGCAATAATTCTCTCTGTTATCTCGCTCACCCAAATTCAGTCGTCCGCATCGTTCCTATGACTCCCTCCTCTTCCTGTGCAGATACCTCCCGGGAATCCATGTCCTCAGCTTCCACCACTGAGTTTCTTCGGAGCTCTCGTCTTGGTGCGCCTCTGCATGTTCACTCTAGATTCAATAGTGTCTTGCATACAGCACATTTATGTAAGTATAACAACACTTTAATTAAAGATGATTTTTCTTGTAAGTCACTCATTTCAGCATCAGTATTTGACACCGAACAATTTTGTTTTGTTTTTGTGCATATCGTTTTAACCATTCGTATAGGCTGTTTTCGAGACAGCCAGGGCTCCTGCCTTAACGAAGC